TATTGGCTTGGGCCAAAATGGCGAAAAATTTGCTACAAATGTGGAATGGTTTTAGCAGCTTTCAAATCATTCTTGGTCAAAACCCTAATTTGACGAATATTGTGACTGGCAAAATACCATATATCGAAGGTACCATTTCGAGTGATGTTCTTTTAAAACATTTAAACGCTTTACATTCAGCCAGGCAGGCATTTATCCGTTGTGAATCTGATGAAAGACTTCGCCGAGTATTAAGGCACCAAATTCGTGCCACCGATGACTGTTTTTCGATGGGAGATATCGTATTCTATAAAAGAGAAGGACACAACAAATGGCTTGGTCCTGCTAAAGTTATATTTCAGGACGGCAGGGTTGTTTTTGTGCATCATGGTGACGTGTATGTAAGGGTTTCTACCAATTGTCTGATCAAAGATTGTCAATCAGACACTGGTTCATCTGAAATAAGAAATACTCACCTTGATGTAACGAAAAATATTCCGTTAAATGAAACCATTGGATTGCCAGTAGTAAAACCAACTGATTACGTAACAGAAAATGCAGTTTCTGCTGATCCAAATATATCTTGCAATGCTGATCAGGAAATCAAATTGAAGAAATATGATAAAATACAAGTTCGCGAATCTGAGCAAGACGATTGGGAAACAGTCACAATTTTAAGTAAAGCTGGAAAAGCAACTGGTACTTATAAACATTGGTACAATGTTCAGTCTGCAAATGATATTAAAAAAAGTGTTGATTTAGAAAATATTTTCTGGAAAAGACAAGAAGTTGAAATACTAGCTGTATTTGTACCTTCAAGTGAACATGGAAATTATGATTGTGTGCAAGCGAAATTAGATGAATTACAAAAGTTGGAACATTTTAAAACTTATGAAATTGTTAATGACATTGGACAAGACAGAATTTCAACTAGATGGGTCGTCAATAAAAAGAGTGATAAGGTTAAAGCACGTCTCGAGGGTTCGAAGAGGAGCAGGGGTGGATTTGGGCCGGGAACCGGCCCGGACTCCCGTGTCAGAGCGGCCCAGTTAGGACTATTGAATAAGTAGGAATATTTTCATTGAAAAATTTCCATTTTTGTTGCCGGGAGCACTAGTTGATTCCTCCTGTGATGGAAGGCCACGAGACACATTGGTACAGAGTGACGAAAGTGACATTCAAGAAAGCTGCTTTTTGAATTTTGGATTTGTTGTTCCAGGTAAATTATTTTACCTTGACTCCGAACTTGAACATTTGACACACTACATATTGAGTAATGAACATAGCATTAGTTCAGATAATGAATATTCGAGTATAAGGCCACACAAATTTAATTATGAGAGTTGCTTTTCACCTCAACATTTTTGTCAGGAGCGGCGGACGGAAATAAAAATAAAAATAAAATTTGATCTTGGACGCAAAATGTTGCTACCACGACATCACAACAGTGTCGGGTGAATCTGATTAAATTTTCGGATGAAATTCGGAATCCCCATTGCAGGAAAGTCTATTATACCAGCCCATTCCAGACTCCAGTGATGGCTAGCGGCCTGTTAAAGCCACCGGCCAGATACAACATGATCATTATCGCTCCATGGCCGGTCCAATACCCCCTAATATCATGTGACAAAATTATTTTTTTCATTTTTTGTTCGACCAGCCCTTTGGGCGGTCGCCCGATTGCCCAATCCGCCCCTGAAGAGTAGCAATATATTCAAAGTGACTTGCCTACTATTGGTAAAAGTACACTGTGAACATTCTTAGCTCTTTCAGCTAGCTTAAAGTGGAAGGTTAGAACAACCGACATTAAATCAGCCTTTTTGCAAGATAAGACATTAGAAAGAGATGTGTTCTTATCTCCACCTCGTGAAGCGGGTTTATCTTGTGGAAAATTATGGAAAGCATTGTTTATATGGCTTAAATGATGCTGTAAGGCAATTTTACCAAAGTGTACGTGAAGAATTATTAAAGCTAGGTTGTAAACAATCTTCTTTAGATCCAGCTTTATTTTATTATAAAAAGCATAACAAGCTAGTTGGATTGATTGCATGCCATGTGGACGATTTCTTGCATGCAGGAAATATTAAATTTGATGATTTAATTATGAATCCTCTCCGAAACAGGTTTTTAGCCGGCAAACTAGAAGAGACTGCGTTCAGTTACGTAGGATTCAATTTGGAACAGGTAAAAACAACGAACTATATAATGTTAGATCAAACAGCGTACATGGACGAATTAAACACTGTTAAATTGCCTACTTCTACTTCAAAAGATGCTGGTAAAGACAAGAATCTGAACGAAGAAGAATTGACTTTACTTCGTACACAAGTGGGTAAAATTAATTGGGCCGTTCAGGGTTCGCGTCCAGACTTGGCATTCGATATGATTGAGTTGAGTACTAAGTTACGTAATGGTACTATTGATGACCTTAAGAGGGCAAATAAGTGTATTTTTAAATTAAAGGAAATAACTTCTGTTATAAAATATCCAAATCTTGGTGATCCTCATACCTGGACACCACTAGTGTTTTCAGATGCTTCTTTAGATAACATTTGCAGTGGTGTAGGAAGTGTAGAAGCTCATTTGATTCGATTAGTCTCTGTTAATCAGTGTTGCCCCTTAAATTGGCAAGCAAAAAAAATAAAACGAGTCGTACGATCTACTATAGCTGCAGAAACATTGAATCTACAAGAAGCTCTGGAAGATGCAGATTATCTTAAACATCTTATTGAGGAATTGCTAGGATCAACAGACTTTCCGTTAAATATTCCGGTGGAGGCTGTAGTTGACAATAAAAGTGTAGTTGAGGCGGTGTGTTCTACCAAAATGGTAGATGATAAACGTTTACGATTAGATATTAGTGCCATTAAGGAATCTTTATCATTAAAACAAGTAAAATCTGTGAAATAGTGTCCTAGTGAATTGCGGTTAGCTAATTGTATGTGACTAAAAAGGGGGCATCTGGCAGTGATATTTTAAGTGTCTTGCGACATGGAACACTAAACCAAATTCCATAATTAAAAAAAACAAAAAAAAAACCAATTAAAAATATGTGAAGTGTTTAGTTTAAAGTTTAATTTATAATTAATGGTGAGAGTGCAGTGAGATGTGTAGAGAATAAAAAAAAAAGGCACTCAAGTGTTTAATAATTTTTTATTTATTTTTTTGGATCTTCTTCATCTGGTACCATTTTCCAGTATCTTCTAATACCCACAAACTTACCTTTAAAACTGTTTATTGAACTATAACTTATAAGAACTTTTACTTACCTAAAACAGAAAGAAAGAAAAGAGAAAGTATAATTAATGTTAATGATTGTATTTGTTTATTGTTTTAGTTTCGTGTACTTACCGTTTGTTACTCTTTATTTTGTACGTTTCCAATCCTTATTTTTATTACTTGCCTAGTTGAGCATGCATACTTTTGTGTTTGTAACATGGCGCCAATAAAAAGATATATTGTACGATCAGACAATTGAGTTTGTATTTAACATTTAGGTGGTACAAATTTCAGCTAATCTAGCCTAGTTGTGGTCTGGAAATTAGATAACTCTTGTCAGGGATACTCCACCACTACAAATGTCTGGCAATTACATAGCTCTGTCGGGGGTACCCCACCACTAGAAATGTCTGTCAGTGTTTTTGTAATACCTGAAGATGTACGGTACACTGCTGTACGATTTTCATGTGGTACACTTTTGAGCTAATCTAGCCTAGTTGGGGGGCATTGCATTTTGGGCATGGAATACCACACCCACCACCAGAAACTAGGCAGACTTACATTCTGATAATACCTGATATACATGCATTGATATCATATAGAGAAAATTGGTACACTTTTCAGCTAGGTTAACCCCGTGGGCTCCCGCTCTATAATGTAACATGTCTTTGCATGACTTAAAAGTAATATCAGTTTAATTTTAACAATTGCATGCAAAACTAAAATTAATGAGTTTTAAAACGAATGAATCTCTCTCTTTTTGAATGTATATAATACGTAATAATTAAAGGAGAAAGTGTATTAAAGGCCTTTTAATGTTCTGATGGGACTGAAAGTGCTAGCTAGCCACATTAATTTTCATAACACAATTTTATGTCTTGCTAGCAAATTTTAGTTTGCCTTTAACTTTTGTCACATCTGAGTTAGCTGTGAAGAACCATCAGGATGTTTAAGCTCAGTTGTCACTTATGTTGTCACGGTACTAGTTGGTGTTAAATTAAGACGAAAAATCCATGTCCAATGTACTGAATGACACTGCAAAGAAGAGATTCTAATCAAAGAAAATAAACTTTTGCATTTATATGGTAGTTTCCAAATGTTTGCGGGGGTTTTGTCATGTCCATAACATTAAATTTGTTTTCTTGTTGGACTGGATAATTAGAGCACAGTTTTCAGTAAAATGATTTGAAGAAAAAGCACACACAGAGAGTTATTATGTTTTGCATCACTAACTTTAATTGTTTCATGATTTATTACTGTTTCCTGCATTGGGTATTATAAAATGCAAAATATGTTTAAAATATTTCTCAAGATAATTTACAAAAAAGCTAATATGTTACATATTCTAGTTAATGGTAACATGCTTAAGGGTGAATCTTGCATTTTGATTGGTCAATTAGACACTGTCTATTAGATAATAACACCCTCTGTTTTAGTAATTTCTTTTAAAATCCTAAAATAGCATGTTACAATGTCGATAAACACTTCCTGTTTCGCATTTAGAGGGGTGTTATTGTGCAATAGACATGTCCTGAGATTTTACATTAAAACCTGCGACGCTAACGCGTCTTGGGTCCTAATGATCTCAGGACATGTCGATTGGACAATAACACCCCTCTAAATGCGAAACAGTAAGTGTTTATCTCCTAATTATTAATTGAGATATTTTTGGGTTGTTATAGCTCATGTAGTAATTAAGATTTGTTAAATTTGTTTTGTTTGTATATGTAATTTGTTATTTCTATCAAATAAGTTTATTTCTTACGTGTAATTCATGTTAAAATGTATATTTATTTCTTTAGAAATAAAGTGAACCCTCTCCAAGATGATAAAAACTTTAAACCACAAACCAGGCCTAGAAGGTAGAGTACATATTTCATGTTTAGATTACGTAGGCTAGGACCTAACTATTATCTTAGTTTTGAATAAATACCTTTGAGCGATATATTCAGATTAAGCAGAACACTTGTTATGAACCTAAAGTTTAAAGAATTGATAATATTTTTATATGCCGTTGTCTCAGTCCATCTGTTCACATTTGTTTTTAGACACAATATTTATACGAGTACATTTTCAAGTGGGCGTATTATTCCGTCGCCCCTGTCCGTCAGTCCGTCCACAGTTTGTTTGTGGACAGTATACAGCAGGTCACTTTTGATATTGGTATGTATTGGACCATATTGGATTATGGCCCCTGATTGTATGAAAAATCACATTTTTAGCTTGTGGACACTCTAGAGGTCACAATTTTTATCAGATTTAAAAAACATTTGAATATATCACCATTACACCCTAATGATGGCTGAGTTCGAAATTCCTGATATTTAAATTTTAGATCATAATTCACATAAAATCTGTTCAAAATACTCGAAAAATGGAGAAAAATCAGATTTCAACAAGTGCCAATAGATACAAACAAGATCTTTTCCAATTTCGACAACAGATGTCAGTTTTTGACGCATTGGGTTGACTGTCACTGACTGACATTAGGCCGCCTCATGTGTCCAAGTAGGCTATAGTTCACTGAATAATAATTTAGTATTTATCATAATTATACACGTGTAGGCTACGGCTTGATATAGTCTGCTCCCATACACCACCATGAAGAAAGCATCCACAATATTTATAACGTCCTTCAGTTTTGCTCCGAACTCGGCGAATGATACAGTTAACCGCACGCAACAAGAAACATCGCCATAGTAACAAAGTGGTGGTTTATCATTGATTACCCAGTCCGTTGAAAAAAATACATTGATTATGTACATAAAAAAGTCACCTGGATAATATTTCCTTTACTCTTTGATTTGAAAAACACACATGACAAGGATGTGGCAACATTTATAGTGTGTTCAAACGAACTTAGAATGTCTGGGGGAAATACGTTAAACCTTTGGCATCATTTGAGATCTAATCACCAGTATTTAGGGCTATGAATGCTGTGACGTCATAATAGCTAATTTTCATCGATGGCGTCAAAAATCAGGACTCGCATTACAAAACACTAATTTGTAAACAGATGTCTCTACTTAAAATTGTAATGATTTATATATTATGAATCAGCATGGAATTAGCCTTTTAATGGTGTTATTTATATTTTGGTACGTTAAGTATCTGCCGAGAAATTATAAGTTGAACAGCGCATGCGGCATATCGAGGGATTTTCTCATCGTGAAATTTCATGGCACACAGTTTTTGGATTCCCCAAAAAACACCCATGGAGCGTATACAGGACAAAAATGTAAGGGTTCCCCTAATCGACAGCCTGACGATTAGGAATTTCTGCACTGGTGATGTCAAAGGTCACATGCGAACATTCAGCGCTTGATGTACAAGTTGATAAACTTTATGAAGCGTTTCTGAGATAAAAATGATGGAAAAAGATGCGGGTAGTGGATAATCCGAGAATTTAATTAGGATTCGATATTTGTAATAAATAGTAAGCGATTAAAGACAACATCGTCTTATGTATGCAATGATTTCTCCTCTGACTTCCAAGAGAGGTAAGTCACGTGACGTAAACATGACCTGGTTTGATCGAATTTTTATAGCAGGGCATTCCTTCGCAATTACAATGTTTGAGAAGGATTTGAAGCAAAATTATGACAAATTAATTAGTTTGATACTAATCACCTTCATGTAAGCTACAAATCACTGTAATTCAAACCATTTTTAAGATCTGACCTTTCTCGTCTTACATTGTAATAGATTACATACTTGTGACTGGAAAGAGTGAATTTTAAAATACAGTAACACATTATAATCTTTGTGTTGTTAAAATTGTGGCAAATAAAAGGTGCATGTAAAGGTGCATATTTACAATTTGCAGACTAGTCGTCGCCTCAACAACCAAATCATACTAAATATCATGTATAAGAACTGTTGTTACACATGTCCTTCATTGATTCGTTAGTGTGTTTACAGATAAGGCATTGGACATTATTTTTGTTTCTTTGATAAGTTTTGGAAATGGAATGGGATGATTATTAAAGATATTTATTGAATATATAATATGAGTATGGTAAGCACTTTCTATTTTGCATTTATGCTAAACAACACAAAGTAATTTGTTTTATAAAAGGGGCACAATTTCCTCCAGGGTTCAACAGATTAATGATGTGGATAATGCTTTGTAAGTCGTTTACGGGAAACAATACAGCCAACATGTGTAAGGTTAATATTTTCTTTCGTGTTTTGAGTCTATTTCAAATACTTATGAATTCATCAGCTAATTTATTCTATATTCATAAATATACAAATTATAATAAAGATGGAAAAAACATTTTCATTTTACTGTGGAAGTAATGAACTAAGAAAGATAATTTTGTACTTCTTTCTATTAAGTCAAAACCACGACCAACGCACAAAAGTGAACATGTCAAAATCACGACCACAACAATACGTAATATGTTCTCATTTGTTCACATAGCAATTATTTTCTATACATTTGAAGCAAATGAAAGCAGAAGCACATATCACACATGTTAGATGCATTTCAATGTGTATATCTGGCCTATAGGTCTTAAGATTAAAAAAAAAAAAAAAAAAAAACTATGTCCATGAAAGAAATCACCACTACAACACACCAGAAAACCTGTAGAATTTTTATACGCCCACATTTTCATGTGGACTTATATTGTTGTCGCCCCATCTGGAATTATTTCCCAATATTGACTCTGGGGTATAACTAATCACCAAAATGTCTATGGGAATGGATCTAGCTACCTCAAAAGGATTTATTTTGATACCAAACTCAATCATATTATGGTAAGTGGATAAAAACTGGCATTTTCCAGTCAAAACCGGCGGCCATTTTGGATTTTTGCCAATTTGACTCATTTGGGCATGGATTTCGGACTGGGACTTTTTTTTGATGATAATATATGTCTAGACCGACCATAAAATGTGGTCGGTATTTCTATTGCAGAAACTGTCCAAAATGGTGCGAAATTGAGTTAAAATGCCTGGACTACATGATATACTTCTCACTGTATCAATGCAACTCACATACCGATACATTACTAAATAGCAAACAGATACACTAGATACATTAATCCGTTTATACATCACAAGTTATGTCAATTTTACATGATAATTATCACAAATTTTTGAAGCACAATTATCGCAATAATTTACTCAAGGCGATAATCCATGATATCGTGGTAATTTATTTTAACAATTTCATGAGATATCGCAATACTATTTTTTCAGTAGCGTTGCACTCTAGAGGCCACAATTTTGATCCGATTTTGATGAAACTTGAAATATATGTTTATAATCCAAAGTTTTCTGTCGATATTCACGCATATCAGATTGTAACTTCCTGAATTATGTCCCTTGATTATACGAAAAATCTCTTTTATAAAACTTGTTCTCTATCCATCTCTCGCAAAATGTGGGCGTATCTGCCTGGCAGCCGCTGGTTCTAGTAAGATTGGATGTTTCTACTTTCCATATATACCAAAATTGCCATACTTTTATTGGAAATAAAACCTGATAAATACTTTTCTGGGAAAGTATATATGTTTATGTCCCAAAGATCTTGGTTCCGTTTCCTATTTGCATATGTGACCCCCCCCCCCCCCCCCCCCACAGCATACTGAGGAAATGAGGAAATTTTGAAAATTGAGTTATTGTTATTTTCACAATCTCCAACTCTGTACCTTCAATTTGATGTATAGTTTGTTTGAATTGGGCAAAAATTGACTGAGCTGTGTCCATTAGAAGCTGTGTCCATTAGAAGCTACCCAACTCACAAAAGTAAGTTTTGAGAAAAAGCAAGTCAAAGATTTGGTATGTTCCAAAACAAAATCCCATAGCAACCAGGCCATTTATCTGCTGTTTTGTCGTTGAATATATCTTTCCATGGGTTTTCAGGGGTGCTGAAGCCGAAAATCGTAGTAAAAATTTGATCCGACTATTTCCGCAATTTATTTGCTATATTTTGTCGTTTATTATGTTTTTTATTTAGGATTTCAAGGGTGCTGACGACGAAAATCGTAATAAATGCACTCCTTTCGTAACGAAACATCCACAACACATACGGCATAATATTCACATGATAGTGTTATACTGAAGAACAATCTATACATTAATACTCATTTGTGTATAATATAACTTTAGTGAGATTAACTCCTTAGTGCCAGCTAGTGGTCAGGAGATTAAGATTGTTGATTGGATAATCATCAAAGAAGCCGCCACAGCTGTACGCATGTTCATTTAACACGTGAATTAAAATAAGATTTTGCGTGTACGATAGGTCTATTATTATTTTCAGGTACCGTGACGTTATCAAAATATGAGTCCCTATAGAAATGTCAATTTCATAGTCAAGAAATGCTTACGTACACTTTCGTGCATTTTGACTTTGATGTAAATATCAACATTATTCAGAGGATACTCAATGGCAGACTGAGAATCGTCGCATTTCGGCTTGTTGGTCGTTCTCATTTTTTCGACCCATTGTGATAAGAAAATTTTAAACAATAATATCCCAGATGCATTCCTTACTTTGCATACCGTATGAAGAAGCGACGGTAAACAGAATTCAGCTATCAATAAAATTCTCTTCGAAAAGAAAAATTATTGGCCATTTTGTTTATTTCCATTTAAGGCCTATAGATTATTTTTTTAAAGATGATATTATGAGATATCAAATAATCACCACTTGGATTAATTATTCGGAGTAAATAATGAGTTGTCGACGGCTTTATCATTGACCTGTGACAGTTGATTAGTAATAGTATTACTCAATGACACACCCGCTTGTCGATTAATTTACATCATCAGCCACGTGGTTTCGATTAACACTCAACGGCAATCTCTACGATCAGAATTTTTTTTTTCTGCCACTTACCAGAGTGAA